TTTTTGTATTTAGAAGTTCTAGAGGGTTTTCTTGTATTATTTCCTTTATTATGGTGTTCATATTTTTAATTTAACATAGTCTTCTGGGAGACCTTTGATTTTTAAGTTGTCTTTGAGCATCCTGCCTTCCAGATCAGTTATTTTTGCTTATATAGAGACAATATATTCTTTTAGCATTTTTACATTTTGGTTTTCTTCTTCTAGATAGTCCTCCACTTCAGTATATTTATATTCTGAATCCATTGCTCCCTGTTTGCGTCTTTGGAGAGATTTGCCCACATGGATTTAATTTTTTCTGTGTTAATTATTTCTGCTGTTCAAGTCATAAGTTCTGACATTTGTTCTTTTCTGACTTGTTCTGTTTATGTTTTTTATTTCTCCTTTGAACCATTTTGGAACACCATCTTGTTGTTCCATGCTTCTAGGGGGTTGTAGAGGGTTTTGTGTCTCACCAGAAGGATCAGTTTCCTTTTTCTTGTAATGTTTTAGAGTAGTTTGTAGTCTTTTTAATGTTTTAATACTCATTCTCATTTATCTGCTTGTACTGTAGATTTTAGATTGGATTTTCTTTCTTTTGAAATTTGGATGATTTTAGCCATGTTTCCTGTTACTAACTTTCTGATTCTTCCCCTTTTTGAGAGTGGGTGTAGTTGGAGCTGGAATGCAAAATTGCCTCATCCTTCCACATTTGGGGAATTTCCTTTTCAAGTAGAATTTGGCAAATCAATTAAAGCAATGATCTACATTTTACCATCTCACAAATGACTGAACAATGTAGAGAATATAAGTCCTATTTTGTTTACTTTGTTGATTATGAAAAGTATTTCGCTTTGTAGAACAAAATACTGCTGTATAGGTTCTTTTGTAACAAAGTGTCTCTCATCCACGTATCAAGATCATTCAAGATTCCCTGAAAGAGTTCACAATAGAAATGACTATTTAATAACTGATAATAAACATCAAGTGAGGCATAAAATAGGTAAATGTATTTGTACTAAAATATTCATAATTATGATGGGAGAGCTCCAGTACAAAGTCAATCAACCAACAAGCATATATTAAGTGCCCCACTGTGTGATTGGGATACAAATACAATGAATAAAACAACCCTTACCTAGAGTTTACATACTAATTGGAGAGACAACAAGAAAATATAAGTATATAGCGAATAAATCCAAGTAAACACCAAGTAGTTAAATAAAGGATAGTTTGAAAGGAAGGGCACTCAATACTTGAAGAGATCAAGAAAGGTTTCGTGTAGAATGTGGTACTTGAGCTTAGTTTTTTTTTTCCACTTAATAGTATTTCATTTTTTTCCAATTACATATATAGTTTTCAACATTCATTTTTGTAAGATTTTGAGTTCCAAATTTATTTTCTTCCCTCCCCAAGACAGCAATCTGATATAATATATACATATACAATCATGTTAAACATATTTCCACATTACTCATATTGTGAAAGAAGAATCAGAACAAAAGGAAAAAACCACTTGAAAGAAAAAACAAAAATAAAAATGAAAATAGTATGTGTCAATCTGCATTCAGACTTCATAATTCTTTCTCTGGATATGGACGGCATTTTCTATCACAAGTTTTTTGGAATTGTCCTGCTGAGAAGAGCTATAAGAATCTATCATAGTTGGTCATCGTACAATGTTGCTGTTACTGTATACAGTGTTCTCTTGGTTCTTCTCACTTCACTCAGCATCAGACCATGCAAGTCTTTCCAGGTTTTTCTGAAGTCAGCCTGTTCATCATTTCTTATAGCACAATAGTATTCCATCACATTCATATACCACAGCTTGCTCAGCCATTCCCCAATTGATGGGCATCCTCTCAATTTCCAATTCTT